AGAGGTGGGTAGGGAGGGCATCCTGCAGAGGCTGGGGACAAGGAGGATGGCACAGAACGCCATCACAGCCAGAGGAGTCTGGCAGGGCTTGGCAGAGGCGCCAGAGTTACCAGCAAGCTAGATGGCAACAACTGATAGCCTCTCAGGAACCTTCTTGTGTAGACCCACAGTGGCTCCCCGGCCCTGCCTGCTTTGCCTGACTCTGAAATGCCACAGAGGCCCATTTCTAGGTCTGTTCTTCTGAAAACACATCTCTGGTGCTGGGTAGATTCTGAATCCTGAGAATACAAGTTTCTGCTCCTGGATACACAGTCACAGGACCCAGAAGGATCCCGCCCAGTGGCTAGGCCAAGGCTGCAGTCCACTCCTTCATCCACAACCCGTTCTCCCCAGGGGTCTCACTTCATCCGCAGGACTGGAGAGTAGGCACAGAGAACTCACAGCAGGGTGGCCCACACTGGTCTCCCGTGCTCAGCAACCATGGCCAGGAGTAACTGCCATCTCCAGGCTGAGAAGCCTCAGTTGGAGGAGATAGCACCCACTTAGGGTTCACAGCCCCTTCCTGTGTCAGTTCCAGGAACCTTGGATCACAGACATGGCCTCATCCAGACAAGGACACGACCGTGGAACCTTCAGATGTCAGTGTCCCAAGAGCTGGGAGAAAGGCTGCAGGCCACAGGTGGCCACGCCTGGGATTCAACAGTTGCTCTGCTCAGACCTGGCTCCTCCAGACACGCTGCGGCCCCAGCTCTGCTTGTGTCTCTAGCACCTGGGGGAGGGGGGAGGGGCTGGGCCTTGGTTTCCCCGAGAGAGTCCCTTCCACACATGGGACCAGCCAACATGAGCTCATCAGGTCACAGGCAGCCGCAGCCTCCTGCCAGACAGAAAGGATTCCTGGCCCACGATTATAATTTCAAAGGAGTACTTTGTAGGTAAGTCCTCTGGAGCCCAAGACGCCAGGCAGGGAAGACAATGGCTGCCCTTGGCACCCACAGACACCAGCTCCCACTGTCTCACGTCCTTGCCCTCGACAAGAAGTAGGAGAGGATGAAGAAGGCCACAATTAGACCCACAGCCATGCCACATAGAAGCTTCCGGTTGTCTCGTCCAGACCTTGCCATTGCGGAAAAGCGCTTCACACTCCCTGTAAGCAGGCCGGTCATGCTTGTGAAATCCGAGTCCTAAGGGAAGAATCCCGGCAAGATCACACAGAAGTGGTGATTTGACCACCCACCCGCACCAGTGCTGAAGGAGACACTGCAAGCTCTGTAGCAGGTAGTGCTGGGGGCAGGGCACTGATTCGCGCACACCCTGGGCCCTTACCATGCCATCCAGGTACCGGTTCTGATCCTCTGCATCCCTATCGATGTCCAGGGCAAGCTGTTCAGCACACAGAGAGGGCAGGGTTGGGCCAGAGCAGACACATAATACAGCACTCACCCTTCCCAGGCCAGACAAACCCTGCCAACAACTCTGCCAGACACAGTGGGGCAGCAGCAGGAAGGTCCAGGTGTCAGCTGGGGCCTCATGCAGGTGAGCACAGCCACGAATCGAACGAGGAGGACGGCAAACTGCCTGAAACTCCTCTGGGCCCTCTACCTTCCCTCTGATCCCCATTCCCCAAGGGCACCAGGTGGAGGTAAGAGGACAGACCACCACTGACCGATTTGAGCCTGGTGACTTTGGAGGCCAGGCTGTCGGCCATTCGCTTGTTCTCCCGGTCTAGAATCTCTTCCACAGCGCCCGGGCTCTGAGCTGAGAAAAGAGAGGGGCTGAGTGATTGCATCCATCGGTGAGCGAGGCCCCTGACCCCTCTCACTCCAACCACAACTGGGTGAGTCAGAAATCTAGGGGCCCTAACCTAGGTTCCAGCAGGTGAATCTTGCACATGTGACAGGCTGCATAAAGGACGATGTGTGCAAGGGCCTGTCATGTGAACACGTGTCCTGTGTACACATCCAGGTGGGGATGGGCCAGCACCCACAATGGGTTCAGTCCAACCAGCACCTTCTGAGACTGTGTAGCAAAAACTGGACCCAGCTCTGGGATGTTAGTAAGATGTGACACTTGCATCCAGGGAGGTCGCCATCTGTGTATGTGGAGCCCATTCTTATAGAAAAAGAGTAAACTCTGCTAAGAGTATAGGAAAGACTTGGGAAAAATACCCAGCAGGGCAGCAGAAAGGCTCCTGCAGGGATGACCTTTGAGCTGGGTCCTGAAGAGGTGGCAAGGAACCAGGACAGAACATTGGGAAGGCCCTTTACCGCACAGAAAACAGCTGAGCAAAGTTCCCAATTCCCCAAGATGGGAGCTGAGGTCGACCAGGAGCGTGATCCCTGGTCTGCATCGCACACAGGGCTTCCTGCAACACCCAGGGCACAGCGCTTGCAGACGCCTGGCCTGTGACAGGCTGGGCCAGGTGATAAGGAATTTCTGTCACCTCAGGTGGGTGAGAACCACCTTCTCCCTCGCTTCAACGTAAGGAAGGGATGCCAGCGTCCTTCCAACCACTTCCTGTTCATTAGTTCCTTTACTCATCATAACTCAGAAAGACAGGCATCAATATCCCACTTTGCAGAGAAGAACACGGGCTCCAGGAGGGGAAATGGGGCCACCGAGGCCCAAGTTAGTTAGTAGAGGCCTGCCTGGACACCAGCGGAGCACAGCCTCTACCTCGAGGGCCTGGCCTCGGGACCTGTCGAATGCCGAGACTCCCGCTCACCCTGAACCCATGCAAAACGATCTCACAGGGAGCGGCGGGGAGTGGGGGGACCCCGCAGCTGCGCGACCCCTCGCTGGAGCTGCTGGGCCGCCCCG